CATCCATCGGAGTTTCCTTACAATATCCCATTAGTTACGTAGTCCGGATCGGACACTTTCAAAAGCCGAATATTTATCTTACGAGCGACTAAGTCAATAATGACAAGTAAATCAGGGAAATCGACTAACATGAGACGTTTGGATGTTGAACGTTGCTGGACAATATTGCATAGGCTGAAGTTATGGGGATATACTCTCAGCGAGGGCAAAAGCCATCTTGAATTTCCTGAGCTGTCTCTTCATCAAACTTGATGAAATAATGTCAGTGAGCACCTTGTATGCCACGACAGTTCTCGCTTGCAATTTTTGAAATCTTTTTCGAAGAATAACATCGCCGGTGGAACACTCCAACGGGGTTTTCATTTTTTTACGTTTTCCTCACCAGAGTCGTCACTTTTGTGCTTGGGGCTCATTGCTCATGAGGATTGATTTCTTGAAAATTAGTTGCACCCCTCTCTTCTCTTGCGCTTGATCTACTGATTTCAACTTTCTTTAATGGGTTGAATCAGTTCAACGAAATACGTGCAACTGTCGCCAGAAACGAAGGCCTTTTCCATCTCCTAGACACTCCTAACCTACCAGTGTCAGGAATGTAGCCAAACACCGACGCCGTTCTACCCGTCCGACGAAACTCGCTGATGTTTGTGCTGTGCGACTACAACACACCCTCCAACATATGTAAATAACGTCGCTTTTTTATTTGTCTCGTTGACCTTCCTTTGATTCGACTACTTTTCACGACTTCTTCCATCTTGGTGAGTTTGTTTTCCTTTCTCTGAATTGTCACTTTAGCTTTGGTCATTAATTCGTAATAAAACATTCACTCACGAAACCACAAGTATTATTAGGCAGTTGCAATTTTCGTTCAGTGTGTATGTCTGCAGAGTCAGCAGACTGCGTCCATTACTTCAGGTATTGCGAGCGATTTGTAGGGAAAAAACGTTGGATTAAAAACTCTTTGCCAAATGCGTCCAGCGGCAGAAGAGCCCTACCATGGAGAGACCAATCTTTGTCGCATCATGCGCACCCGTCAGTTATCATCACGGACCGCGTAAAGGTGCCAAGTACAGCCAGCAGTTTTGAACTCACTAGGTTGCTTGAGTTGTCCATGAATTGGCCTACACCAAAGGATGGTATATCAGCGCCCCCTCATAGCGGTAATCACAAATCCCACCAAAGGAGAAAATCTCGTTTCTGAACACTCTGTCTTCATCCCTGCATAGAAATCAACAATATAGTATGAACTCTAGGCCCTTTATTCTAAAATCGCATTTTGTATTTGCCACGCTTTATACACAAGCATAAAAGTGAAGATGTTTTGGAGCTTCCTATGTTCAAATTAATATATTTTAAAGTTCCAAACTGGACCTCGCTGAAAAGAAGAGCCTCCCACCAACAACGGTACGCTCTTCATCTAAAGATAATGTGATTCCAGACGGGATCCGGATTTTTTGGATGATAACTTGTTTTCTATGCTACTTCAGGGCATGTCAGGCGCAAAGTGATCAGATTCCATTTGTGGATTGTGGATTGTAATCACAGGTTCCTCACAGTAACTGGGGTGATTTGGCTATGACATAAAGTATTGCCGGTCTTCGGGAAATACACTCATTTGCAAATTAGTTTGGTTTTCACGAGAGACTCAACAGAATCTTTCGTTTATGATATTCTACAACTGAATGTGCTGCAACCTTGTGAGTAGTTTCCTTTATGAAAATATACTGGAATATCTCGAATATCGTGCCAACTGAATCATGAGGCGGCTTGTTTGCAGCACATTCAGTCGTAGAATATCATAAGCGAGAGATTCAGTTGAGTCTCTCGTGAAAAGCATATTGATTCGCAAACGATTGTATTTCTCGAAGAAAGTCCAATTTGGGTTCAAGTAGAGCATAAGGTTGACGGAAACTCGGGGGCTACGCCTACCTGATGAGCCCAAGTAGGGCGAAACCAGGCGTGGGCTGTCGAAGAGTTTTCGGTAACCTTGTGAGTAGTTTCCTTTATTGCCAGTCTTATTTGAAGTGACTGTAAACCGTGAAAGGTTCGTACTCAAGACTATGGAAGCCGTTAAGCCCAAACCTATACAATGTTCTGTTATTAAGAAGCCCGTATACATGAAGTTTCCCTCCAAAGGTGACTGGGTTGCTGAACTAATCACCAGAAGGCATAGAAACTCTTTTGATACGACATACTTGACCGTTAATCTGTGTTTGGGCTTCAACTCCAGCTCCACTATCAGATTCCGCTTGAAGGACAAATTGCCGGTTCTACCACCAGCTTTTGTGTGTACTCATTTGTATGCCCATGCCGAGTATCATACGTTGGTCGTACGACAAGGCATTTGTCGAACAGAATACGTTAACACAATCTCGTATCTCTGAGTGGTAGTGGAAAGAAACCAGGCTCAAGCGCGATTGCAGCACACTTGGCCGAAACCTGTCATATCATACACAAGGAGCAAGCCTTCACCATCATATATCGGGTTCCTCTGAACGGACCACGACTGGTACGATCCAAACTACTATCGATCGCAGAAGCGATAGGAATCCGACTGCTGGATCCACAACTTTGCATCCAAAAGAAACTTGTGTGACCTCTGAACTTGAACTGGCCTACGAAACATCCGGTCCTACAAGTCTGTCTGACAATGACGTCACTTGCCTGACTCCGTGGCCTATTAACTTATCCCTCATCCAACCCTCCTTTCTTTGATTTCTATTCTTCTAAAGTGTATGTAGTCCCGATCTTAACCAGTTCTACTGTACAACATTTTTACGTCTACTCGGATTCTGGTGCTGTGTTCATCCTGAGGGTATCCAATGAGATGCGGTCCACCGACATTCAGGTCAGTCCTCGTAGTTTTTGCAGCGCGCACCTGATAAGCAATTAGTTCGCCGGATATAGTTTGATTCATCTTTCAGTAGCAGAGCCCACATCGTAAATTCACATGGTGCCTGCATACTCGGTTGACGATTTCCCATAAGAAAGGTTTACTCGTTGTGTACCATATTCCTGCTTTTAGGCTACATGCTGCTTTTAGCGGTATTCAGTCTACGCCAATACTGTTGTACGTGACTTGTCTAATGAAATATTTACTAGAAATAAAGTACAACTACTGGAAAGTCAAAGCATTTAGGAGTTCCCACTCAAAATGGATGCGCATGAAACAGTTTCACAATATCCATGTATTCACCTTAAACCAAGCAAAAGAAAATACCAGAATGTAACACACCAGGTAGGCAACTTTGTGTCTGAGGGAGGACGAATCATATCGCTGCTTGGGCCCAATGAGTTAGACCTCAACTGCTAGCCAGAGGTTGCCATGTCTAACCAATTCGTCCTTTCGAGTTAGATTGATCACTTATTGAACATTACTTCTCATAGCAAACCACACTTCCAGATTTTCCGAGCATTCCTGGCAGAAACGCCAAGTTATGTGCTGTTATCTCGCGTGCATTCGTTGGTAATTGACCAGGTGGATGCTGACCTGGTCGCCGAGTCTGGCAATCGGTTTGCAAACGATTCGTTAACATTTGCGGAGACGTCTTCTGTGCTCTGTTTGTTGAATAGTCCGCCTCCATAGTTTACAAAGAGCAGTTCTTGAGTTGTAAGCTGGTTGGCCCTTGACAGTCATCGCACGTTGATTCCGGGTGTTCCGATCATGATCTGTGTTGTGTTGATGTTTGTATTTCTTGCATTATACAGCCACGCTACTGCTGAAATTGCCGTCCATTATTGTTCATTCCGATTGGTTCGTTTGTTATCTGTATTGCATCATGGCCGGCTTCTAAGTTGGTTGGTTGGTCAGTGATATACCTTCTACCTCCATTAGTTTGTAGTTCTATAAATTTCTACTTTGAACGCCTTTTTCGCTCCAGATTTTGAGGTTCTGGATTTCGTTTGTTCTGAAATAGCTATAGGGAGGATCGCTCCCAATCCCTCTAATTAGTACTCCATCCGTGAAGCACTACGCCTCACGTAGTACTCACGTAGAACTCACGTTCTTTCTTTGTTCTTGCCTGGCCCAGTATGCTGACGTTATCCCAATCGAGCTTGTGTCCTTCCTCATCATCGCGTGCAGAGATGAACGAGAGTTGATCGCGTCTCATAAAAGCAGGCTTGTGTTTGTTAACTCTGATTGACAGTTTCCTCCACGTTTGTCCCACGTAGCGTTTTCCACAATCCCTGCACTGGATTTTGTAGATTACATGTGTCCTCTCCATTGCATTATATATCCCCTTTGGTTTTGATAGTGCCCTTCTTAGCGGGTCGGTCAGTATGAGGGCAAATCCTATGGCAAGCTGTCGTAGTATCCTTGAGGTCATATCCTAAACGTTTTTTATGTATGGTAGTGTGATTGGTTCGCTTGTGATTCCGGTCGTCAAGTTGCAACCACTGGACGCCCGAAATCTACCGAGACGCCTCTTGAAGGATTTTATCAGGGAGGCTAGCTTCCTCAAAGCAACCACTGAATGCCCGAAATCTACCGAGACTCTCAGCTCCGCTAGATGTTGACCAAACAGAAAACACTCCCTCAATATGTAGCGCGTCACAGCCTCGTACCAAAGGCAGACCGTGCGCGTCAGCATTGGACCGATTCCAGAAAGTGTCCCTCCAATAAATAGCTTGAGACCGTTTTACATTCGAACTCGCACGCACTCACACTCTTGCACTCGCTTGTTCGGAATATAGCAGCTGTTGTGTTCCCTTCTGTGAGTCTTCTCTTCTCCGGCACTAGGCACTGGAGCGGGTCGGCACCCGGATACCACAGATTGACGAATCGGCAGATATGACAGTTTCAATTCGCTTCAATGGAGTCCGAATGCAGCCCGGTTTGTGAAATTTCGGATGGTTGCTGTGGTAGTTCGCTCATTTTATGATGACGAAGGTTTCGTCAAAACCGCTTATCCACAGTTTTGGGCTGGCATCTGGTTGAACGGTTCTCTCCAGTTTCTGCAATATAATGTCGGCGGTAAACCCTGATATGGGGGGGCCATTGATCCTGCTTTCAGCTACTCGTAGTATTCACCGTTGAATTACAAGCACGTGGTCAAACAGAGATTGCGTAGTTCACAGATATCTCTTCTTAGAGATCCGCGGGAAGGCCAACTCCATTGATCCTGCTTTCAGCTACTCGTAGTATTCACCGTCGAAGCACGTGGTCAAACAGAATTTACGTAGTTCACAGATATCTCTTTTTAGAGATCCGCGGGAAGGCCAACGGCTATCCAGTAGTTCACGACCGTTGTCTTTGCGGAGTGGAGGTCCACTGTGAACAGTGAACTGACATCAAATGAAATCATTGATTTGTCCCCTTCTATTGTCACGTCCTTTAGTATATCAAATATTTTTTGGGTCTTTATTGAATGTCGCAATCCATTGATGAGATAATTTACCCTTCTACATAGTTCCTTTGCAAGGTTGTAGGCTGGTGTGGCTGGAAATGACACAGTTGGCCGTAGTGGTGTGGTCTCCTTGTGTACTTTCGGAGGTCCGTAGAAGCGTGGGATGTTGGACTTTTTAGCTCTAATTCGCCAACATCCTTCTGTTGTGATCGTTTGGAGGTCTTTTGTTTCACTTCAGGCTTTCATTGGTTTTGCTCGCAAGTCTTTTTTGGTTTGGCCCTCATCCTGACGGCAATACGTGGTAGTTCCGTTGAGCACGGCTTCTGCTTTGTCCAAGTAGTCTGATTTGTGCGTGATAACGGTCATGCGTCCTTTGTCCGCAGGTAGAATGATGGTGGTTTCATCTTTTTTCAAATTCCTCATTGCTTCCTATTCTTTGTTTCAAGAAAGTGTGAGGGCTTTGTTTCGCCTAATAACCGGTACTTCAGTTTGACAGAGTTGTTCCTGTTGTTGGATATCCTCATCTAGTTTGGCGGATTTCATTGCTGACTCCAGGCTGGTCAAGAACTCCAGAATGTTGGTATCTTTGAAAGTAAGGTTCAGTTCTCTAACAAAAATATCCTGCTGTTGAACAGCCAGCCGCTTACTAGAAAGATTCTTGATCCGTGCTTTGTTGATGGTGATGTAGCTATCATTTTTGCTATTTCTGACCAGTCTTTAAAATGTGGTTTCTTGAATAGTTTTCTTCCATTCCGCTGCGGACGTAACATTTCTTTCGATAGCTATACTGAATAAATGAAGTAGAGCCGGCCCTATCGTTATCACACAGATGTTCCCTTTTCCTTTGCTTTTGACAAGGTAGCGAATTGGATGTGTTCAGGTGCAAATCTAGGAGAGACGGTTACCCACACAAGGAGGTCTGAAGGCGGTTTCAAGGTATGGTCACTGATGACCGGAGTTCTCAGATACGGAACGCGCGTGCTGAGGAAGCATAGCTGTGCAAAATACATTAAATCCATCATGTGTGCTTGTCTTCAACTTTTCTGCATCTGCACACAAGGACAAACAATTGTGGCCGAAATTTAGGAGTTTTAACGGGATTGAAAATAAGTTAACAGTTTTCGTGTTCCCACTTAAATCAGGTAAAAGAATGGAAAGAATGTGAAGAGTAAAGAATACAGAATATGAAAAATATGATATAAAATATAACACAGCGTTCGGATGTTTTTTTATGACGTATTATCGTATCGTATTATCTGCATCCGAGGCCTCCATAGTTAATCCGCCTCAAGGAAATTGGGACCCTTATGCACCTTGTCGCTAAATGAGACGTAGATGAAAGATAAATGGTACCTTTGGATTCGGGAAGATATTTCCCCAACAACCTTTGATTCGAACAGTGACCAAGCTCCAAGGAAATCCTTCGGAAGAATACTACATCATCTAATGATTGAAGGCAATTCACGGGTTTCGTCGATTATTGTTTAATGTCATATTATACTAACAGTAGAGAACCGGTGATGGTTTTATACAGGATAAAGCTAACTGTCGACTTCCAGCCCAAAAGGTTCAGTCAAAGAGGCGGTCAGCACATGAGAACATGATGCGTGTTCCAGGATTAAAGGACAAGTGACTCTACATCATATCAAATTAATAGTTCGTCGCAATTCTGATCCGCGGTTTAAAACTAAACAGCTAGTCAGCGTTTGCGAGTTCAAGCCACTTCGGTCTTACAGTGTTGAGCACCCACTTGTAGAACCTAACCCCTAACCTGAACCGCAGTGTCAGCTCTTCCGAGCATTCCCGGATTGTACCTTCAACAGGTCAACGATTTGAGTGTGTTCA